TAAAAAAAAAAAAAAAAAGATCAAAATTTGAACTATTATTCAAACAAACCTTGTCCAAGTCGGAACAAGTAGTCAACTGTAATTCCGCCACGTGGAATAACTCCTCCAAATTAGCGCACAAAACCGGCGGTTTAACTTTCGTTATCTGCATGTCTTCTCTTGGTGGACGTTCTTGTGTGTAATTAGTGTGTGAAAATGGTGAACTTTGTAATGGAAATCTCCATTGAGTGAAACTCTGTGAAGTACTATTAGAAGATGATGAAGACTCCGATGAACTCGCCGGAGGCGGCGGTAATGGTAACGGTAACGGAGTTAGCTCCGGTGGGTCGTCGGAAAGTGAAATGGGGAGGGTGGGTGGTGTGGTGGTAGTAGGGCTGAGAACGGTTTGAGTACAGCGGCGGAAGAAACCACAAGAAAATAGTGGATTTGGTGAGGTTTTGAGCTTAGTAGGGTTATGAGTTTTCATGGTGAAGAAAATTAAGAGAGAATGAATTTGGTGGTCCAATGATTGTGCTATGCTTGAATGAGATAGTTCATTTAATATAAAGGATGCAAATGTTGATTCAAAATTTATACTAGTATATTAATTGGTGATGTGAGGGGTTGCTTTAATGATAAGCAATCTCCAGTTTAAATCAAGAGGTTGTGAGTTCGAGTCTCCCCGAGAGCAAGGTGGAAAGTTCTTGGAGGAAAGGATGCCCGAGGTCTATTTGGAAAAAGTCTCTCTACCCTAGAGTAGGTGTAAGGTCTGCATACACACTACCCTTCCCAGACCCCACTAAGTGGGATTATACTGGGTTGTTGCTATTGTTGTTATGAAGTAAAATAATGTAATATGCCCGGGGGTGAAGCTCGAGACCGAGGCGCGGGTTCGACCGAACTCAGTAACTTTGGTCCAAATTCTATATTTGTCTTAAGAAATTTATTTAATATGTTAAAATTATTAATTTAAAATCTCGTAACTTATTAGGCCTAAAATCATGAACCCACAAACTTCAGATTCTGGCTCCGCCTTTGAATATGCCGTCAGACCTATGTATAACAGCATTCTTATATAATAGTAGTTATTTACTCAAAAAGCCTAAATATTTCTCAGAATCGACATGTTATGTTATAGGAGCAATATTTTTTTTTGGTTTCCCACCCAGTGTCCAGTACCCGCATTAGGGCCCGGGTTAAGGGAGGAGCAGCCTCATCCACTGCACCACATCACTTGATGGTATTATAGGAGCAATATATATTCTATATAACAGCACTTCATTATAACAACCAAAAAATATTAGAAATAAGACTGTTATAGAGAGGTTTTGACTGTATATTTCCTTATTGATCTAATTTCAAACTTAATAGTAGTTTCATTTTTTAGAATTTGTTTGATTAGATATGGAGTTTAAGAAAGAAAGATTTTTATTTTGGAATTTATGTTCTTATATATGCCATAAAATTTGTATTACTATAAAGTAATATTATTAAGAATAAAATAAAAAATTTAAAGCTAAATTATTTTTAAATATAAAAGTGTATTATTCTTTTAGGAACCGACTACAATGAAAATAATGTCACACAAAAAATAGAATCGAGGGACAATAAATGAGTTCAAGTACCATATACAAAAATATATACTATATAGTATATAGATCTTTTATACCATTAAGTTAAGCTGTAATAACAAGTAACTTTTCACTTAATTTTCACGGAGAGCTTGATATATGACTATATAATGTAACTAATTGAATAAATAATAAATATAACATAAATTCAATGAAATATTATCAAACATCCTTTACTATTTCGGATAGCATTTATGATTTTACATTTTTTCTTGATTATTGACGTTCATGATTTTCATGTAATTATAGATACTATTTTCTCGAGAACACATAGTATTCATCAATATCTTGGTCAACTGACCAAGGAGCATCGCGTTGGCTTTGAAATATAAATATACAAGTCTAATTACTACAAAGAGGATGAGAGAAAAAAGAAAGTTTAAAAATGTATTCAGTGATGTAGAATACCAGTATCAATTATTGGACTTCTTATCTCCGCCCCAATAAAAGCAGGTACATCCTGTAGAGTGTTAATAACGGTTCAGTTGAACCCATAATTTTCGACGCGTAATAAAATTTTATATACAAAAATTCGTTAAAATTACAAAAGTACTAGATATAAACTCATAAATTTAAAAACATAATGAGTTTAATATTAAAATCTTAAAAGTTAAATCCTTATGTGTTTTTTAGTCTGCAAAAATGGTGGGGACGACTCCATTGTTGACTGATCGAAAAGCAAAATATAGAAAGTCAGTATTCTCCATGCACGTGAACTTGGCAGAGGAACTTGGTTATTAGGTTACTCATTTTATTTTTTATTTATTTTGGTTACTCATTGAATTACATATTTGTACTCCGTACTAGGTTTCTACTTTTAAGGAATGCCAAATACATATATACATATCATTAAATTTGGCCTAATTTTTTATTTTGGTACTTTAATTCAGTTTTGTTTCATTTTGGCCCTCCAATTCTATTTCTTTTATTCCACTTTGACACAAAAAATTTTCTCCCAAGTAAAAATGCAGCGCGTGCAAATACCCAGCT